CGCGGGGCGGAGGAGGAAGAAGGGTGTGGAAGATCTGTCTCTTATACACATCTAGATGTGTATAAGAGACAGCACACACACACACAAACACACACACACACACGCGCATGGGTTAACACGCTTTCTTTTTGTATCAATCAATCAATCAACCAATCACAATTTATCAATCAATCACTTAATCAATCATCGGCAATCAATCAATCAGTAGATCAGTATGTGTGTGTGTCAAAAGCTATTTATCTTTGCATCTGTCCATTGAAAAAATAAAAAACAAACATGTGCAACATGTTTATCCCACCAGCAATCACAAAATAATGAGAAAAAAAAGCCTTCTTTTAATTTCTTTCTTCCTAGGCTACCAGCCGGGCCGCCCGGGTCACCCTATTTTCTGGGGTGGCCCGGCCGTGCAAGGACCAGGGAAGGTCCATGCCAAAAAAAAAAAAAAAAAAAAAACAAAACAAACTACGTTATGCAGAAAAATAAACTGAACAACTTTTTTTTTTTTTTTTTTTTGCCTCAGGTTTACATCGAAATTCTTTACCAACTTTTAAATGAAATTTTAAATTAAAAGATCATTTTTATTTTTTATTTTTTTATTTCTTTTTGGCCCGGCCAGGCAAATGGACCCGGGCCACTCTGGTAGCCTATCTGTCTTCTAGACTCCCAGAGTGGCCCAGGGGCCAAGTCCCACTTGCACCGTTCAGTTGAGCTAGCTCAACGGTGTGACAGCTTTTCAAGCATTTTTTAATTCATTAGAAATGAAAAAAGCTATTTTCCAATGTCCGGACCTAGGCTACCAGAGTGGCCCAGGGCCACTTTCCTGGCCGGGCTGAAAATAAATAAATAACTAAATATTAATTTTTAACTTTTTTTGTTATTTTAAATTTGGTAAAGAATTTCCATGTGACCCTGAGGCAAACATAGTTTTTTTTCGGATTTGTTTGATTTTTTTTTTTTTTTGCTAGGACCTTCCCTGGTCCTCGCAGGGCCGGGCCGCCCGGAAAAATAGAGTGACCCGGGCGGGCCGGCTGGTAGCCTTGGTCCGGACATTCTTTTTTATCATTTTTTTTGCTTTTCTCCTCACGCCCGGTGCCTGAATTCACGCACACATGACGACGCATGTCACAATCAGGAAAACAGGACAGCATGAGGAAAATAATTTCCTCATGAATGCACCTATCCACTAGACGCGGCCAAATTCAACAACTCGTCTGAAAGTACTACCTGTTGACTGGACGACCTCCTCATTGCTCCGTTTGCAGAATCGGACTTCGGACGGTACTATGATACGTAAGAAGCCAGGCTCATTATGTCAATAAAAGTCAGGCTCATTATGTCAACAAAAGTTGTCGTTCCATGAGAAATGGTCTTTAAGCTGGCTACCAAGAGAAAAAAAAATGAGAGCTAGCTCAATGGAAGGGTGCTCGGGTAGGGGGCATTCTATTTGAGAAAAAGGCATTTTACTCTGGTTTCCAATAATAATAAAAAAACAAGAAAAGGAAATTAAAATTTCTTTCCTTGAATCCACCGCTGGATTCGCAGGGACATCTAGCATCTTCGAGGTCGCGCCCTGTCACATGTGATTGAATGCTCAGCGTTGAGGTAGCTCAATGCTGCTAGTAGGACATGGCCCCAGGACCACTTGCCCCCCCGGGCCAAACAAAAAATAATAATAATAATAATAATAAATTATTTGTATTTTATTGTACATTAATGTGCCGGTCCGGCGTCCCTCACATATATGCCGCAGCCATACAAGGCTGGGAAAAGCACTTCTGAACGATCCCATCCCCGACCACGGCAGCAATTCAATCAAAAAGGTGCTCAAACCCTAACAATCCTCAGCAGAAAACAGCAAAAAACCTCAAATCATGCTACCCTAATTCATCTCTAATATACAACCCTAGCTAAATCCTGCGAAAACACAAACAAAATTCCAACCATCTCGACTACGAACTGGTCAACAAAAGGTGAGCAGCAGCAGATACTCGACTCTGAGGGAAGAGGAGAACCACAAAACAGCCCACACAATTTCGATCTGACCCTGAGGAAAAAGTTGTTCAGTTTATTTGTATGCATAGTTTTTTTCGTTTTTTTTTTTGTTTTTTTTTTTTTTGCTGGGACCTTCTCTGCTCCTTGCACGGCCGAGCCGGGGAAAGAAGGATGACCCGGGCGGTCCACATGCACACACACACACACACACAGCCACGCGTTCGCGCGCTTTTTGTTTTTTGTATCAATCAATCAATCAACCAATCACAATCAATCAATCAATCAATCAATAAATCAATCAATCAATCAATCAATCAGTCAATCAATCAATCAATCAATGAATCCGTCGATCAGTATGTGTGTGTGTCAAAAAAAAAAA